GCAAGGTGGATGGACTCAGTTATAGTAGCAAAGGATGCATCATTGGAAGACCTGCAAGACCAGTTTAGGGACTGATAGTCATGGAGAAAATCTATTTCCAGTCACTAGGAGTCGACATCAACTTGATGGCACATAATCAATCAACATTTGGTGGACTAGTTTGTTGTTCAATGTATCATGAGGACACAATCATAGGCTAACCATCATCACTCCCTTTTGTTATGGGAGATCCAGCTACAAATCCCTGCATAGCCACAAGACTCACCAAAAGATTTTAGGTAGCTTGCTATCTCAGTTTAGCTTGGCTTGCCTTACAAGGTTACTGGAAAAATATATGGAATACATCTTGGGAAGTAATGTGTTCATTGAACAGGTTTCCAAAGTGTAAAAAAGTGTAATATTTGGAAGCTAAGAAGAGGCTGAACATATTACAGTAGAAGAAACATATGAAGCTGCCTTCTACAAATCATTAGTCCATCTTAGTTCCATTCTGTCTGTAATGTTCTTGGGACTTCAGGCAGAATTTCCTGAATTGGAGCTGGAGATTGAATCTGGGACCTTCTTCATTTTAAGCATGAGTTCCTCCAGTCTACAACAGTCCTTCCCTGTCTTATGCTACCACCTAGCATGGGAGGGTCTTGGGAAGTAACATCTGAACTAGTGAAGGGCACTTAGACCAGCCTTGTCTACATGCAAATTAATCTAGGAATCAGAAAGGCTGGCTTCTAAGGTGAGTAGATGATCTCATCCCCAATTATGGATTTGAGAAAAGGTTCAACAGCCCATCATCTATTTGCCATGACTATGGATGTGATTATGTAGAAATCTTAGGAAGTCAGCAACAGAGTTGCTGAGTGTGAGGATACAATATTTCTGTTTTTCTCTACCATTGTGATGCTCAATCTCAGCCCGCTGACCTTCCATCTGGCAAGTTTGGGAGCAGTTTTGCTCATGGTTCCACCCTGTTGGGAAAGTAACCAATTTAAAATTTACCCTCTATTTTCTCATGGGCACTCATGAACTTTCAATACCGAAACCAGATTGATTATATACTTTGCAGCCAAAGATGGAGAAGCTCTATACAGACAGCAAAAACAAGACCAGGAGCTGACTGTGG